TAAAATAATTTGAAAGATATTGAAATAATGGTGAGAAATTGAAAGATATTGGAATAATGATGAAATAATTGAAAGATATTGGAATAATGGTGAAGTAATTGAAAGATATTGAAATAATGGTGAAATAATGGTGAGAAAATTAAAATATATTGAAATAATGATGACATAATGGTGAAATAATTGAAAGATATTGAAATAAGTGTAAGATAATTGAAGGATATTGAAATAGCGGCGAGTAATTGAAAGATATTGAAATAATGATGAAATAATCGAAAGATATTGGAATAATTCTATTTTGGCCGTCATCTCACGCTATAATTAACATTGTGTACATATAAATATTATACTTCAATATTTTTCAACTGATATTTGTTGTAAACAATTAAGAAATACTAATGTATATATATATATATATATTATATATAAATGAGTTTATTCCATGACAGTATTCTGTACACGTTAATGACTGTTTTCTTTTAATACATAAAAATAGCACAAGTTTCCGAATTATAGAAATAAATTATCAATTTGTCCCATTCAGTCAAGGCAGAAAAACAAAACAATCTTCGTACATACATTTGAAAGATTAAGAGTACGATAAAATGAAGTATATTTCCATAACATTTGGCTAAAAACTAACTTTCTGTAGTAATATTGAAGTATATTTACTGTTTTTTCGAGTATGTCACTGACCGATTTACGCCGTAAGTTGAAATTTGAGATGTAGTGTACATCATTACCGACTCACATTAACAAATTTATGTTGGCCTGAAAATGTATTATAATGAACGGGTTATATATTTCATTGTCTAGATATTTTTATACACGCCAAAATTGTTATTTCAAATTCATAGGTGCCATTGTTATTGAGGCGTCTGTACATCGAACACATTCGCTGTATGTGATTGTGCCGGCCATAATACGTAAAACAAACTTACATATGTTATACTAAAAACATATAAATGGTTCGTTCTTCATATCGTCAATCGAGAATACATTAGTTATTAGATGGTTTACTTAATGTTTTTAGCCATAACATGACAATTATTTCAATTTGGTTTACAAAATGTGCTAGTGTGACTATAGAACCCGCGATTTGTGTAGTGTATTGATACGTATACACATATTGAATTATATTTTAAACCAGACACGCTCTGTGGCTACTTGATGTGATTTACTATGTAATGATCCATACAAACTTGAAAAATGGTCCGCTACTCAAGATGGCGGAACTTCGAACGGACGACAAATGAGGCTTTGAAATGTGTGTAACTGTCCATGTTATATGTAGTACTAAAGCACACGCGAACTTATACTGAGTAAGTTGTTAAATTGAACTTACCGATCCAGACATATATTAAAATGTACTACATTATTTTGTAGTAATTTCAACGCATTTTGTAAAAAAAGAATATTCAACTCAATTTGAAACAAATATGCTCATTCAAAGTATAATGACCATTGACGCGCCCTGCTTGACATTTGGTTTACAAGTAATCTGCGACTTACCTTAAATATCCCCAAAACAATTAAATGAAATACAGTGAGATTATATTTACTTTTAAGCAGCGTGCATTATTACTGCCACCATTAAAAATTAAAGATAAATTATAGTTTCGTCCACGTCTGCAGTTTTGTACATTATTGGAAATAATCGTATGTATTTCACCAACTGGCTGTTATTGAGAACACGGCTACACAGTAACACAATAGATATACATGTGCAGTTGTATATTCATAGTAACCACATCGTACACATGACATGTGTTTCGCGTGGTGATTTTTCTGTTAACAAAAATAACCCAGCAAATGATTAGAATTAAATATTTGTAATTAAATCACTTACTCAGTCAGTCAGTTACTCTCAGTGTGTCTACCGGGACGTACATTCAATCGTTGGTAAAAATCATCTGTGCGGTCATAAAGTTCTTGAATTATAGAGAACATGTCAGAGAAATGGTTATTATTTTTATCATTGTCGTGGAAGTGAAATAAATGTCTCATAATCGAATAATATACCCGTTATTTTAAAGGTCAGAATTACGTATATGTATTCAATGTATTTTATTCGTTGCAAGCGACTGCTGGCGATTACACTGCAATTGACACGCATTTGTTACGCGTAATCAGTATGCGCAGTCAAAAAAGTCATGTGCCGCGAATCAAACAAATTATGCTAATCGTCGTGTCATATGAATTGGCGATTGTAAGTAATTGAGACATTACTTTTGACTCAGTGTACATAATGGAACCAAATATACAACGCGGAATACTCCGTGCTGCATTTGGCATAGCTTTCCTGATTTTAATAGCTTATACTATTGTGATTTATACAAACAGTAAAGGCGTGAATATACTGAAATTGGTAAGTTGTGTATTATACAGAATGACAATTCTACGAGGGCTTGAATGTATGCATGTTGTCGAAGGTATGTAATAGAACAATGCTCGATCACCTTGGTGATATAGAAATTTGGTGCTTTCCTTTCATTTATATTAATTGAACTTTTTTAATTCGTTGTTCGTGATTGCCCTATCTCTTTTGGATATATTGGTTTTGATGCGTTCCAAACGTACTACATTCAATGTAGAAAGAAGAATAGGTGATTTATATTTCGCCTACCTTTTGTAACTTCCCTCTCTACCATGTATTGGATAATAATACTACTGACGTTAAATGTGTTACGGACACAGATGTACTGTACATGTTTATTGCTTGCTGATTGATATTTGTTGGGTTCTCGCTAAAGAGACTATGGCGGTGTGTTAGCTACGTGGACATACGGCATGCAATCAAACAGTCCCGTGATATCGACGTTATAATTTTGCTTAGTAATTATGTACTAAGATTGTTCTTTTCATTATCATGATACATTTCATTGGATCTTATTCTGCTATTCTAAAATTAACATTCAGTGTGATTCCACATTACATAACGGTATAACTGATTGTACATCAGTAAAAAGTGCGCGCTTTTCAATATGCACGCAATACCGTTCTCACCACTATCCCTCGAATATTCATCCATCGGAAATATTATTTGTGTCTGCTTACAATGCAAATGCCGTGGAAATTTGAATTTATCTTCAAAGTGGTTAATATATTCCAGGTCGCTAGATGAAATGTAACTCAGAAAAGCAAGTACATTTTATAATTCGTGTGTGATGTTTCATCCGACACGAGAATCACCAAAGGTAGCAGATGCTAAAAATATCATGCTTTCTACTTGATGGGACAAGTAGTGTAGCTACTCTCTTCATTTATATTACGGGTGTGTAGTGAACCAAATGACGTTGTATTGAGTCGGTAGTTTTCACGTTTACAATTGTATAAGACTTTAATTGAAAGTCAGGGCGACGTTTTGTTTTACGTAAAAACAACTGTCAGGACGAGTTTAGAAAGTGTAAAAAAAGCGAGTTTTGCGGCCTTGGCATTACTGGACAAATAAAGCATTTAGTATTTTTATTTTCATATATATTTTCAAATATTTACATACATCTTCATTTTCGCGTTACAATCACAGAATATTTATCTTCTAGTGATGGCTATACTATTTATAAACTTTGTGAATTGCATAAACCATGGGTTTAACATTCTAATTTACTCAAACATGATTGACAGGCATTATTAGTACACTAGCGTGTCACAGGTCGTGGTACATTTCAGCGAAATAAACCATATAAATCAAACGCCTAAATATACATTCGTTAACACATCTATTTATATATATCACTCTCTCAGATAACTATGAAATTATTTTAAAATGTATACATTTGGTCTGGAGACCTATTCTATTGGATAAATATAATATTATAATATATCCATGATTGTACCAAGATGTGTTTCGACTCACAGTTTGGCCTTTAAACATCGTATCTGGCACATTTACCGGATCACCACGCCATGATGTTACTAGCTTCGGTAGGATTATCAAAGTAACATCAGCTGCCATCTTGCACAGTTTATACACTCGATTCTCCCTTTTAAACATTGAGACAGGTAACTCTTGCTATAGAATAAAGTAATAAAGATTTCATGTGAATAGGACATAATTACATATACATGGTTACAGTTCATGACATAATCACAACATATGGATATGGTTTACATCACAGAGTGTGCTACGTTATATATATATGATGTATATTATGATCTCATAATGACGGTTCAATAAAGGATTTTAAAGACAGTGTTCTTGCTATGTTCTCACATACGTGAGTAAAATATATGATAGAGGGGCGATTTGTAACAAATATTGAAATATTGATGCTGGTGACTGAGTGTGATTGAAATATCAACTTTATCGAACAGTGCATGCAACTAAATTTAGTCAAGCTATATTTTATGTTCACAGAGGTGCAATCCCTAAAGTGGTTTTATATGCTGAAAGCAGTGAAATGTCTGAAAACATTACAAATAACATGAGTTATTTGCCTGGTTACCTGGAAACTGACACAAAACGTTTCAAAGACATTTGCTGATGTGTTAATTGATAACGTATTATTATTCAAATTACTTGAAATGTGGAACAGTTAATTCCCAGAATGTGTATTGTTCACTTGCTTGAACATGGGAATATTCTGATTAGCTGTATACAAAGTTATATATATATACGCAGCAAACTAATACAGATGATAAATCCGACAAGGCCGACAAAAATAAGGTGTATGGACAGCGTGCGCTGTAAACGATTTTAGCAAAAGTCAAGAAACAATTGTTCATTTATGGACCAAAAGTGGGATTTATTTTACCTAATCCACATATTACAACAAATAGTACTGACATTTCTCAAATACCTGATTTTTGTAGACATCTAACAAACCCAAGTTTTGCCCGAAATGTAATGACAAAGAAAAACCTACTAATGCAAGGCAGACTGTTAAATCAAGCCAAACAAGTCACGTAAGTATATCGCATAAAGTTCTTTTTTTGAACATTAGCCAATACACATCAAAACGATTTCAAAACTTAAACAGATATCGTGTGGCCCATTTACACAACAAAAGTGCGTTGCCACTAGAGGGCGCGCCAGTAAGCACACAATATTAATCCTCGCATTCTGAAAAGAGATGCTAGCAAACGGATATTTATTATATTTCTATTATAATGTATATAAGCACGGTTTTAATTTTAATATACTGTGTTTTCAATTTGTTCAACTAATTAGGCACCAAAAATGAAAATCCAATGTTCGCATAAAAATGGGGTCAAAGGAAAATCTATCTATGCAAAATTAAGAAAAATGTTGTAAGTCGACTAACTAACCCATAAAACTTGGAAAAAAGTTTTCCTAATGGAACAGTATTTGTAAAAGCATATTTATGGTATTGTATGCGAAAAACACACGAGAAGCCTGGTAAGCAGTGCTGTCTACTTTCGGGCGGACATCCGGGCAATTTTACCGCCTGGCAACCATCACAATGAAAACAAAGGCTGACATCTCTCAGAAAACTGTACTTTGGAATTGTTTTGATATTCTCCCCAACTGAGTAACTCGAATACTCATACATTGGTATTAATTAGTATTAAAGTTGAGTTTGCCCGTTTTCTCCACTTCTACGTATCACATAAGTGAAGAAATTAAATAAGAAAAATGGCACAGTACCCATTTATTGTCATTCTACTAACTCTAGTCACTACATTCATGACATTCAGAAATTAGAATAGGTCACTGGTAGACGTTCTTGCTATAATACTGAAAAACAACTATTATCATTAAGCATCGTGAATTTGGGAGGCTAACAAACTGAACTAATCTTACATTTACATTAGGTGCCAAAAGACCCCAAGGTTCACATTGAAAATGTAAAGAAGAAACAGCAGATCATTGAAAAGAATATTAAATCGTCTCAGACCAATAATGTAAGTAGATTTCATAACATAACCATTCAACATTGGTCATGTATTAAATGTAATCAATAATAAGGAAATGGCAGCATGATACAGGAGAGGATCGTAACGGCAAGTCATGTTTACGACTTCTTGTGTAATGCCAAGTATAGTAGTAATTAGTTTGTAACTTTAAAATTTCTTAAACCCATTTAGGCACCTACAAATCCGAGGAGTCACACGGATAGTTTGAATGAGAAAAAAACGCCACACGCCAATAGTGTGAAATCTACAAACTCTAGTTACCCATGGAAACCAGTGGTGTAGCTTGTACACTTACACTACATTCATGGCATTCAGCAATTCCTTCATAGTAGAATAGATCATTGATCCAACACTTGTGGCTGATGTTCTTGCTATAATACTGAAAAGCAACTATTATCATTAAGCATCGTGGATTTGGGAGGCTAACAAACTGAACTAATCTTACATTTACATTAGGTACCAAAAGACCCCAAAGTTCGCATTGAAAATGTAAAGAAGAAACAGCAGATCATTGAAAAGAATATTAAATCGTCTCAGACCAATAATGTAAGTAGATTTCATAACATAACCATTCAACATTGGTCATGTATTACATGTAATCAATAATAAGGAATTTCAGCATGGTACAGGGGAGGATCGTAACGGCAAGATATGTTTACGATTTCCTGTGTAATGCCAAGTATACTAGTAATTATTTTAACTTTCTTAAATTTCTTAAACCCATTTAGGCACCTACAGATCCGAAGAGTCACATGGATAGTTCGAATGAGAAAAAAACGCCACACGCCAATATTGTGAAATCTACTGAGGCCATTAATGTAAGACTCCATGGGTATAACCATTTAACCATGGCCATGTAAATATAAATGTTACCAAAAATAAGAACTTTCTGGGCAGTAGCGGGGTAGTGACTAGTTATTCTCAACTAAATGTGTAATGACAAGTGGGATAACCATTTAACCATGGCCATGTAAATACAAATGTTACGCCATGTACAATTATTATTATTATTATTATTATTATTATTCACTTTTGTAAATTCATTAGTCACAAAACGACCCCAAGATTGACATGAAAAATGAGAACAAAGAAACATCAACCAATGCAAAGAATATTAAATCGACCCAGACCAATAATGTAAGCATACACCATGAACATAATCTTTAGCAATAGCAATTCAATGGCGGATCCAGGGGCGGGGGGATGCCCCCCCCTCAAACGCATGACGAAAAAAAATTATAAATTATTATCAGTATAAGCATGCTAAAATAGATTTTCAAGAGATAGTCTGGAAGCTAAGGCCAAGAATTTGGAGTTTAGCTGCACCCCACGTCAAACATTGTGAAAACAGATTTTTCAGGATGGATAATGCCCTGAAAGGGGTGAAAATTGACATGTTGTTATGGCAACCTGAAAATATCATAAAATCGTTAAAAGATCTATATTTTCAATAAATATGAAAATACAGATGTAAAGTTGGTACCAAAATGTAGATCGTGGATTGGCCCAATTATTTATGACATCACATATGCTAATTAGCTAATTTGCATACTCATAAATTACCAAAAAAGCTGTTTTTCAAAGAAAATTGTATATATTGCGTAGTTGTATTTTTCAGGAAGATATACTAGTAGTCTTCATAATTACTGTCAGCATCTTAGTCAGGCTCAGGCTCAATGTATCTTCAGAGTTTGCACAGTCTTTTGCTGAACATTCACATCCATCTGTGCAAGGATTTTCTGTGCAATCCTGTATTCTTGCATGAGCAGCGTCGTGTGTCACAGTTCTTGCACGTTTTGCAGCTAACCATCTGGAGCAATGCTTTTGGTGCTGGATCCTGAGTCATCCACACGATCTTTATTGTGTTTCCATTGGGGATCACAGCTTGAAATGATGCATTCAGTGATTTTTTTCCATATGTAGCACTTCAGTTGGTGGTATTTCATGAGCTTCTCTCCCCCCCCCCCTTTGACAACTTTCTGTACCTCACCTCATTCACACTGGTTGCATTTGGGTCATTAACATTCAATACAGGCCCTTTAGGTCAGTAGGTCTGCTGTAATGTTAAGACTCTCACCTAGATTTGTCATGGCAGACATGAAATATCTTTCTTCATTAACTTCTTCCTATTGCCACAGAAACTGCTTGTTGTATCACATCCTGTGAATACGTGGCTTGCAGACGTCTTCTCCATGTTTCCTGCATATAGCTTGAATGTCAATGTACTTCCATGGTTTCTGAGTAGCCTGTCTGTTGATAATCAGTGGAATATCAATTGCTTTTTGAAAATACACAGCAAGGACAATCACACCAGTGTCAGATGTTTTCAGGACAACTGCTCTGAAATCTCCAGTTTCTGCAATTTACTTGCAGTGCATCAATAGTCTTGTGTCAGCCTCTTCAGCAAAGCATGTCAGAGAAAAAACAGCATCTTTGAGTATTGGGTCTCCATGTACCTTCAATTTGTGGCATTCTTTACCATGACAAACAAACAAAGATGTTTCTTTAATGATATCAGAATAACCTGCATCACCATTCTTCGACCATTCATCCACCAGGAATTCAGGAAGATTCTGTTTGTTCTCACTGTTTGACATAAACTTTCCCCAGTCATTGGGTGCGTTCTGAGATCCACTGGTGATTATATATCTTATCCCTGTCACTTTGCTCCTCCTCTCATGTTCTCTATTCTTAATGAAGACTGGCATGTAGTTATCAATCACAAGATCAATTCTTGCAGGTTGTGGACCTATGGCTTTACATGCAGAAGAAAGCACAGATTTGGCCACTTCAGTGAAGGTTATCATAGGTGCTCATGAATCCGACTCAACCCCTATAAATAAACACCTCATTGTATATTTCTTCTGTTGCAACCCTGTTACATTGTATTTTCTTTGATGTAACACTGTTTGAATAAATAGTTTATAATTTAGAAGTACTTTACACTGTCTTTATTATCTGAACCTGATCGAAGATGAGCGAATATCATCCACAAAGGTTGATGGCTTCCTGTTGTTTGGTGCAGGTTTGAGCTTCTGGATAGTGGCAAAAGTGTCAATCACCAGGGCCACGTTGTCTGGGCATCAAATGGCTGGGATACCTTTCTCAAGATCCTTTGAGTTTAGACTTTTGTGTTTTGTAGATTTTCCATGAGGTGTCGCTGTTTCCCATGGAATTGAAGCTAACTCATGAGAAAAAGTTTCAAATAGGTTAAACTCTCGTGACCTTGCAAGAAGCACCAATCGGTCTGCCTTGATAATTAAATCTCATCCCGCAACTACAAGTTTACGTTCAGTTGTTTGTGTTGAGACTATTATCATTAAGCATCGTGGATTTGGGAGGCTAACGAAGTGAACAAATCTTACATTTATATTAGATACCAAAACAACCCAAAGTTGACATTGATAATGAAAAGAAGAAACAGAAGACCATTGAAAAGAATGTTAAATCGTCTCAGACCAATAATGTAAGTAGATTTCATAACATAACCATTCAACATTGGTCATGTATTAAATGTTATCAACAAAAAGGGATTCAGC